CCCACACCCCTTTCACACCCCTTGCCGCACCCCTTGCCGCACCCCTAGTTTCACTCCCCCTCGGCTCCCACACATCCACCCCCCTTCAGCGGCAGCTGCAACAGTGGGAGACGAAGTAGGAGGAGGAGGAGGGGAAGGGTAGCACCCACACGCATCACCCCCACACCCGCCACCCCCATACCCTCCCCCCACGGCTGCACAGGGTCCAGGAGCGGCGTCGCGGGCAGCTGCAGGGTCGGCTGCTGCAGGGGCGGCTGCTCCAGGGGCCAGGGGCGGCTGCTCCAGGGGCCAGGGGCGGCTGCTGCAGGGGCGGCTGCTCCAGGGGCGGCTGGTCCAGGGGCGGCTGCTCCAGGGGCCAGGGGCGGCTCCTGCAGTGGCGGCTGCTCCAGTGGCCAGGGGCGGCTGCTGGTGCGGCTGCTCCAGGGGCCAGGGGCGGCTGCTGCAGTGGCGGCTGCTCCAGGGGCCAGGGGCGGCTGCTGCAGGGGCGGCTGCTCCAGGGGCGGCTGCTCCAGGGGCGGCTGCTCCAGGGGCCAGGGGCGGCTCCTGCAGTGGCGGCTGCTCCAGTGTCCAGGGGCGGCGTCGCTGGTGCAGGGCAGGCCCGCGCGTTGCTGCAAAGCAGGCGCGGGCGCAGGGGAGGCAGAGGCGGCGGCCAGGGGGGGGTGCGCCGCGACGAGCAGGGACAGCGCCCCGCGGGTCCCGCAGGGGCGTCGCGACGAGCAGGAGCGGCGACGCACGGGTCCCGCAGGGGCGTCGCGACGAGCAGGAGCGGCGCCTCTGCAGGGCGCCGCGAAGGGCAGGGTACGGGCGGGCAGAACAGGCCCGCGCGCGGACAGGAAGACGCCGCGCGCCCGGGGCGCACGGCGGGCAGAAAACCGCCGTGCTCCCCGAGCACACGGCGGGCAGAAAATCGCCGTGCGCAATACGCCGCGCGCCCGAGGCGCGCGGCAGGATGACAGGCAGCGGAAGCATGGGCCCACAGGCCAGGAGTATAAATGCTCTGATAGCATGTGAAGAAACTAAGTACAGGTAGGCTTAGGAGCCATAGCTATGGTAGCTTAGTAGCTGAGGTTTTAGGGTTCAAGGGGAATATCGAGTGAGTTGAAAAGGAGAAAAGGATGGTTTCACTATAGGCTCAAGGGTACAAATATGAAAGAAGAGAAGAAAGGTGCACCACCTAACAAGAAAGATAACTACACTAAGTCTACATTACAGGCAGTTATAAAGTGATGTATACAATTACATTCTGACACAAATGCCTAACCCTAACTGTTTGTACCCCATATAGCATGACCCACTAGAGGCTACAACATTTGACAGGTGACTGGGAAAAACTGGCCTACCGTCAGGGCAAAAAGGGTATTTTACCCTGATAAAATAGGCCCTGGTTGCCAGCCTCGAAACCCTTAGGACGCGTCCCCTCCGGCTCGATCGTGCAAAAACCGATCTTTGACCGCACTAAAAACCCGCATATTGCATTCAAAACATCTAGACGTTTTTGGAGCCACAAAAAAAAACGATCCTACGCAGGATCAATCGCAGGATTGGCGTTCAGGTGACGCGTCCCTAGGCACCAAAGGCAGCGCTGGGTTGCGAGAGAGAGTCGACTTGGAGAGATGGAAGTGTTGGGTGGTAACCATGCTGGTTACATCGAAAACACAAATCTGCTCTGGATTCGGGCAAATTATGCGACATGAATAATTTAGAAATAAGTCTCTAAATTTAATGATTGTGACAACCTATGACGACTGCATTGGAGACTCCTTGTAGAGTCTTGTCACAATAAGCTAGAAAATGGCCCAATTGGGTTGAGCACGGTGCGGATGATTTGAGGATGGTTTGAGGGGAAGGGATGCGAGTGAGGAAGGCGAAAGGAAGCGAAGCAAAACAACTCACCAAGTGTGTGTGGGCAGGTTAGATTGACCGCGGCACAAACACCTGAATCTGCGATCCGAAAAACAGCAAAAGTAGAAAACGCTGCCTGAGTAGAAACCTGGTTAGCTTCAGACTGGTAGGGACGCCTCTGTCGCAGGTCGAACTGAATGCAGACACAGTACACACACTGTAGTTACTTTTCTCCTGACCTGAACCTTACCAGGTTGAGCACGATTCGGTCTGTACATGTTGTCGCGGCTCGCAACAAACCTCAAACCAAACCCTCGCTTTCAGCCGTGCCTGGGCATGGGGTGGTAGCAAATAAAACAGCACCGAGGCTCATCATGATCCAAATCATTTAGCAGTATAACATAACAGTTTTAATCAGTTTCGGAGGTGACCCAAGGCGCGGGGCTTCTCCATTTCTCTGGCAGCATAGAAGCCAAATACGCTCCTGCGCAGTATTGTCGATTTGACTAAGTATAGTAGAATCCTTAATCACCAGATTCAGCAGAAGAGTTTAGCCCATGGCGCGTCTACTTTTCGTCGCAACGTTCGCCGTGCTGCTGGCGGTGGCGTCCGCAGGTCAAACTGTGGTGACCGGACCCAACAACCCGGCGGTGAACCTGGACAAGGCCAAGGGCGAGAATGGCGTGGCAACCGAGGTCCCTCCTGGCATCGAGAAGGCGGCGGCCGCCGGCGGGCTTGACAAGTTCGAGGGAACGACGATCGTGAGCCCGAGCACGGACAGTATTCTGATGGTGGACGTGAAGGTTGCGGGATGGAACAAAATGAAGTGCCACAAGGACCTGGGCAAGCCCAAGGAGGGCGCGTGCACGCCGGCCAACTGCAGCAAGGGCGGCATCGCCGCCAAGTGGAAGACGTCGAACCTGCTGAAGAACAAGCTGGGCGTGGAGGTGTACGTGAAGGGCAACCCGCTGACGCTGAAGAAGGCGTCCCCGCAGACGTGCTGCAACACGTGCGCGGGGTACAGCAGCTGCACGTACTGGCAGTACATCCCCGACATCACGATCGACGGCAAGAAGACGGAGGGCGCGTGCTACCTGGTGCACGACAACATCGACTACTCGTGCGGCGACATGACGGCGCAGTACGGGACGGACTCGAAGCCGGTTCATCTGCAGGTGCGCACGGGCGGCGAGTGCAACCCCGCGGCAAACGTGGTGAACGACCCGCATCTGGTGGGCGCGTACGGCACGCACTTCGACTTCAACGGGCGCCCCGACAAGGCGTTCTGCCTGCTGACGGACAAGGACCTGCACGTGAACATGCTGCTGCGCGGGTACTACTCGGACGACACGGAGAACGCGGCGCTCGTTGTGGACGGCAAGGCCGTGCACACGTGGATTAAGGAGCTGGGCATCGTGTGGTTCGCCAACGGTGCCGACCACAAGGTGCGGCTCGCGGCGCGCTCCGGCAAGCAGCAGGAGCGTGGTGATGGGTTCATGAAGACGATCGAGATCGACGGCGAGGAGATCCCGAGGATGCACGTGGGCGACGAGGTGACGACCGAGGGCGGGCTGACTCTGCGATTCGCGGCGCTGGAGAAGGAGGGCCCGTATGACGTGGACTACTACACGCTCACCATCGACGGGCTCGTGGCGCTCGACCTGCGCCTGCGCGTGGCCAACCCCAAGCTGCAGACGCCCAGCGAGGCCGAGGCGCACATCAACGTGGGGATTGTGGAGTTGGAGCACACCGACGACGTGCACGGCGTGCTCGGTCAAACCTACCGCCCCGACCACGCGGCTCGCGCCGCCGACTTCCAGCGCCTGATCGCGAACCTGCACCGTCCGGTGTCGGCTGACAGCGCGGAGGGCGCTGGGTTCCTTGACGGCACTCCCCGGCTGTACGAGTCGAGCTCCGTGCTGTCCGTGGACTGCGCGCAAACCGAGTACCACCGCGCCAAGCAGCTCAGCCCCGTCGAGGACTTCCCCATGGAGCCCCTCAACTAAATTCGCACTCTAGTCGGTGGTGTAATCTTGATTGACATGCTCCTCCGTTCCCTTGGTGGGCTGCGATTTGGTGGGCTGGGTTTTGGTGGGCTGGTAATCTAGCTCGTTGTTTTGTATAGTATCTCCCCCTAAATGTTATGTACGGTACGGTTCTTTCGTTATCCATTTACTTTATTTGTCTGTCCTAGCTGCAATGAGGTACGGGTACCTAAAAGCACGATGACCGTTTGCTAACTTCCCCACGGCTGGAGTTCTCAAGGCAGCCCCTCAAATTTACATCCCCTCGGAATTTAGTGGGATGTGATTGTGATGGACTTGCCTCATCATTCCCGTGGTGAGCTGCGATGCGGTGGGCTGAAATCTGGTGCGCTTCGATTTGTATTTTCATGTTTCGTAGGCTACATATTTCAAATATATGCAGCTCTCAATCTATTAAATGTGCTGTATTCCCAATATTCTGATTCTCCCAAATTTATGGTCGTGATAAAAAAATATTGTATCACATCAGATAGCATTGTCAAACCACATTATTTGCTGTTCTGTTAATACCAGAAATGTACTTAGTCGTGTTCTGACAGCAATATTAATTACAGGTTGTGCTCGTACGGTACAGATGCTGCTAATTACTTGAGCAATCTGCAGATTTTGCTGAAACTACCGTACCAACAAGGAATTTGAAATCAGGCCCATCTTTCACACTCGGTGTTCATGATAGGCAAGCCTAGAAAAGATACAGAATACTAACTAACCCAACCAAAACCTGCAACTCAACAACACCCAGAAACCCTCATCACCCCAGCCCCTCCCCTCCTTCCTCCTAAATTTGCGCATCTAGCTTGAATTCTTGGGGGTTTTGAGATCCCAAGGCCAGCTGTCTCCACACCTGGGCCTCCATCCCTTATTAACACAGCCATAGACTCCGTAGACCATTGCGCACTGCACTGCGGGTCCCACCTGCCCTGCTGCACTGCTTCAGCTTCATGCTTCCCTTTCTTGCCTGCATTGCCCATGCAACTGCACCCTCAGCAGCTTCTGCTGCTGAAACCACCAACACAGCCGCCGCAATACGACTTGTGCGTTCTTCTGCCCCTCCACAAATTCCTGTTCCGCTGCTTCAGGCTTCAACTGACCCTTTTTCTTCCATCGCTCCAATCAGGTCCTGCTGCTGCCTGTCAGCCAACGCATCTCCATCCCAGCCGCTGCTTCTGCTGCGACTGAGACATTCGTTTACCATGGATTCCACCGAGTGCCGTTATCATCTCTCAGCCTGCTCACCCCCGCCGCATTTTCACGCACACACCGCATCCCGCGGTGAAGAAAACTGCTCGTCAGCTCTCGAACCTGAACCTGCACCTGAACCTGAACCTGAACCTGAACCTGAACCTGCTGCTGGTGGTGCTGCTGCTGTTGCTGCTGGCACTGCCACTGCCACTGCATTGGGTGATTCTTCACCCAGCACTGTCACAGCAGGGCCATCACCAGGCACCACTGCAGGCACCACTGCAGGCACCACTGCAGGCACTTCTAAAGAATCACCAGAAGCAAGAGAATCAAGAGAAGGAAGCGAGTCGAGAGTAGGAAGGGAGTCAAGGCAGGGATGTGAATCAAGAGGAGACAGAGAGTCAAGAGGGATGGCGGAATCCAGAGAAGGAAGCAGCTCCACATCCCCTACCCTTGACACATGCTCGAGCGAGATCACAGACCCCATGGGGGGAGAGGAGGGGACTGACAGCTCTACGGCTTCCAAGATAATTTCCTCATCCGATATCGCCCAAGCACCACCACGCTCACTCCTCTCAGACTCCGTGATTTCAAGCCCAATAGCCGCGAGAGGAAGCGGGGAATTGGGATCAGTGGTCATCAGGCGGTCAACGGCCGCAGCCTCTGATTCGTCTGATTCTTGGAGCAGTTCAAAAAGAGCCTCTGTAACAGCTGCTGCAGAATCCGTTCCCTCCAATCCGTTAGGTGTTCCAGGGAGGGTCCTGGTGGTAGGTGGTGTAGACTCTTGAGCGGCAGGAGGCAGAGATTCACCTGATTCAGAGACTGAGAATGAGGAGATCTGCTCAGGGAGCGCCGGGATTCCCAACAGGAGATCATCTGAGTTCGCTGTTGCTAGGGATTCTGAGTCCGCAGCTGCAGCTTCTGCTGCCACTGCTTTCTCTGTTGCTGCTGCTTCTGCTTCTGCTTCTGCTGCTTCCGCCGCCACTGCTGCTGCTGCTGCAGCCACCCTTTCTGCTGCCACTGCCCTGTCAGCAGCTGCCTCTGCAGCAGCGGCAGCAGGAGCAGCATACTGCCAGGCCTCAAACGCAGGCACGCCGGCACTAGCAGCAGCATAGCGCGGATCATTAACCAGCACAGGGATCGGAGTCAACCCAGAAAACCCCGAGGGGGAGGCCGAATACGCCTGCTCCAAAGCCGCCGCCGCCGCTGCTGATGCTTCCGCCGCTTCTGCCGCTGCTGCTGCTGCCGCCGCCGCTGCCGCTTCTGCCGCTGATTCAGCTGGCAAAGCAGGAGCAGAGGACTGGGCGGTGGAGGTTTGGAGGCCGGCGAAGCGGGCGAGATCAACCCACTGGGAGGTTCCCCAGTAGGAGTTGAGAGTACGCGCAATCATGGAAAGCGCTGCTCCTGCCATGGGGTTGGCTGCTAGGTAGTAATCCGCGATCCAGTGCTCCACTACCCCGCCTATCACCTGGTACCGGAGATTCGCTGACGTGGCAAGGAACCCGCCATACACTGCAGCAGTCTTCAGCACAGGGGACCGTTTCGTTGCAGCAGGCGCGTTAGCAGCAGCACCAGCGGCAGCGGCAGCAGAAGCAGCGCCGCCAGCAGCAGACAACTCTCCCAGGCGGTTCTTCACCTCCATAAACAAATTATTCAGCGCTACAGTGCCAACACTCGCCGAGAACCCTACAGTGAACAGCTTCCCGCTTGTAAAGAGGATGGACGCGAGCCGCTGCTGCAGCCCCCAGTCTTGCCCGGGCTGCGTCGCCCTCTGAAACGCGTTCTTCGGCAGCGTCGCAGCCCACGCACCCACACCTGACACCAGCTGCTGCACCGGCCCTTGCACCGCCCCCGCTGCGCCGGCCGCTCCTGCTGCTGCGGAGCCCGCGATTGAAGAGGCGGCAGAGGCGGCGGGGAACGAGAGCGTGGGAGCGGGTAACCAGACGGTGAAGAAATTCACGATCACGCCGCGCAGCACGTCCGTCGCGACGTATTCGATCTCCGACCAGAATCGATCGCGCCGCTTCTCCCACTGCGCCAGCAGCGCCGTCGTGACGCTGATCGCCTCCTCAGTTACTATCCGTTGGAGGAACCGCGGGTCGGCGTACACGCGCTCCCGCAGCCCCTGGAAGCGCTTCGTCGCCTCCGCGACTAGCGGGTGGCTTTCTAACTCGAAGAACGACTGGAGCGTGTCCGGAGAGATTAATCCGCGTTCTATCCCCGTTTGTAGGTCCTGCGGTAGGTTGTCGAAGGTTCTCCCCGCTGCGCCCATCACGCGCGCGATTTCCGCCCTGTCATAACAGTTTTGCGTGCACATGCGGCTGCCCGAGTACCAGAAAAAATCGGCTTCGGGCAGTTCGCCGTCTCCCCGGCTGCGCTGGCGCTCGGGGTTGAGAAGGACCACTCGTTGCGACCCAGCAGAAATTTTCAGTTGCCCGTTGTTGATCCGGGCAGGGACTCCGGACCCCTGCGCTCCGTAGCGCACTTGCGACGCGCCCGTGAGGACGACGAGCAGCCCGACGATTCCGCCGTCCGCCATGGCCTGATCGATGCTGCGCGCCACGGCGTGCTGCTCCACCACGCGCGCCTGCGCGAACCAGTACGGCCCCGGGCCGAAAGGCAGCGACGCTCGCGAAACGGCTTCCCGCGAGTACACCTCCGCCGCCACCGCCGCTGGCTCCAGCCCCCACAGCCCCGCCGTCGCGGATGCCGCCGCGGAGCTGGTAAGCGGTTGGTCGGTTGATGCGGAGGGGGAAGGCGCGGGGAAGCCGCCGAGGGGAGGGGCGTAGCGCTGGCGGTCGATGGGCGCGAGGGCTTGCACTCCGCCAGCCTGCACCGTGCGCAGAATCTGACGCGGAAAGGGGCGCGCGGGGGAGAAGGAGCGGAGGGCGGGGTCGAGAAAATGTTAAGTCAAGTCTTCGAGGTGAAGAAGAAAAGGGAGCGAGGGAGCGAGGGAGCGAGGGAGTGAGGCCCAAACAATTAACGATGTGCCGAGGTTCTTGTAAGGACTACGACGCGCCGCTCACCTTAGGAGGCACGCCGCACGCGAAGAGGCGGACGCCCGAGTCGCGGCAGTACTGCAAAAGCGGAACCATCTCCTCGAAGCGACCCTTGGACCAATGGCTCACTGCCACCTGGAGGTCCTCTTCAGAAAGCCTGGCAGAGAAACAAGATGCGGTCAGAAATACGAGATACAGGGAAATAAATAACATCTCGAAATAGCAATAGCGAGTAACGGTGCAGCGCGTACAAGAAGATGCCTCACCTTTTGTTGAGATATTTGTCGAGAAGCGGCTGCGTGGATCGCGGAAACGCAGAGAGCGCGAGGGTGACGGGGCGCCCCGCCTTGAAGCACTCGTCTCTCAACCGACTTACGATTTCCAGAGCCACGACCTGAATAATTAAAGGCGAGGTAGGCGAAAAAAGGAAAAGAGAACGTCTTAGAGGGAAGCATGGTCTTCAACGATTAAGCCTTAATATGTATGTTGCAGAAATGGGGGCAGCATGTGTCAAGATATACCGAAAACTAGTTGGAAGTAGACAAAACACAAAAACAATGGCGGAATTAAGACTATACCTCCATCGTCAAGCCTCACCTTGTCCGTCGGGTCGCGAACCATCTCTGCTTCGCCTAGGTACACCACTCGAGCCGCCAAAAGTCGCTGCCACACGCCCTCCTTATCCCCCAGCAGCGCCGGCTCTCCGACCGCCGTTGCGTCGTACACACGCGACTCGGGGCCCTTCGGCGCTGCCGCGGCCTTCGCGCCGCCATCCACGCTCACCCCGGCGCCGTTAGCGTTGCCGAGGAACCACAACGGCGACTTCTCTTTCCCCGCTTCCGCCGCCGCCGCGTTGACCAACCCCAGCTCGGCGGCGGCTGCGGCGCCGAGTGCGGCGGCGCCGATGCCAAGCAGAGCGCGACGATTCAGACGAGGAGTAGGCAAAGCGAACCGAGACGGCAGTTGCGGAAGTACGATCGCGGGGATAGGTGCCGATTGCGCTTCGTCGTCTTGCTGAGAGAGAAGCTTCGATTCCGCCGGAATATCCTCGCTTCCGCCCGCAGAAGTCTCCGCAGAGTTGGTCCGGGAAGCCGCGGGGCGCGCAGAGACGGCGGAGATTAAGCGCTTAATCGACCGCAGTGCTGGTGGAGCCTTAATCACCAAGACCGAGCCGCAAGGGTGCTGAGGCCATATATCCGCGCTTCTAAGAGCAGGTGCAAGGGCGAGTCTGGCCTTGACTCGCGGTCCGGTTTTTTTACTGATGGTTGAAGAAGATGAAACACGATCTTTCGAGGAAAGTCCGCCACGCGCCCGGGAAGTTGTCCCGCGAAAGAAGTTGGTACCGGAAGAAGACGGAGGAGGCCGTCCGCTGAGAAACGATGACGAGCTGGAGGCGGCACGGTCAAGAAGCGGGCTTGGAGACCCCACGACGCGGGAAGCCATTGCTGAAGGGGCTGCGCTGGTCATGGCTGGTCTTGATCTTTACAAAATAACAGGGGAAAAATTAAGGCTTAATGAAAAAATGTTAGTGTCGATGTTTGACGCTCAGTCTTGTCAGATGTCAGAGTCGGGTCGGTCAGAGACTCGTGCGGACGCGATGATTTCGCCAAGGTACCGGCCTTGTCCACCAGTTTGGAGCAGCGATTGAAAAAAAATAGTAAATGTACGTCCTGCTAGCTGAGTGTTGAAGACTCAAGGGTCCAAACGGCAGCCATGGTTGACGCCTCGAGCGTCGAACTGGATATGCTGACCGCTCCAACTGCGACGCTCACACCCACAATTGCCCGATTATGATGGGGAACCGGGTCTTCTATAGGCAGCATCGCCTACGGGTGAGTAGCATCCATGGCGGTCCTGCATTTCAGGTCGGAGTAACAGGCTAGGAGCAGAAACGGTTTCAGAGGGTCAGAAACGCGGGAAACAGAATCGAGGAATGGTCTGGAAGTGGGACCAGACAGGCAGGCTGGGGGGAATGATTGGTGTGAACTGGTGCTGGGGGTGGTGCGGGAGATTATGTGACAGGGATGAATGGCAAATGGCCTTCGGCTGGGGGTGCAGCGTGAGCGTGCTTTGCTCCGCCAGCGTCTGCCCACGCAACCGTGCCATTCGTCCGCAGCAGGTGCAGCAGGAACCAGGCGCGCATACATTCGTTACGGGCATCTCGGGAATTTTCCCGAAAGATGGCACGGGGAGGTTGTTACAAGGGGTGCGCAGCGGGTGTGTTCTGCAGGGCGGCAGAGGGTAACAGGGAATGAAGTGGTCACTCTGGGTGTTTGTTTGGCCCGATCTCCGGGGGCATGGTTCACATGGGTCAGAGAAATTTGGAGATTTTTCAGATGCGGTCCGTCGAACTGACTTTGTTTCCTGGTTTTCCGTGGACTACTGTCGATGTTCACCACACTGAGCATCAGACTGGGTTTGAGTTTGGTCAGTAGTGTTGACGGGAAACTGAACAGCGATGACGCTTGAAAGGGGCAATAGTAAAGCAGCTTCGGCCGTTTCTGAGGAAAATATTTTGCGTTTGCCCGCCAGCGATTCGTTTGCAGAGCTCCGAACGTGTCAGCGGGCAGAGCGACACGCTGGGTCCCAGCCCCCACTTCATGCGAGGTTCTAGGCACGGTGCCCGTGACCCAAGGAAGGGGAGGAGCACCACAGAATCTTTCGAACCGCTGAAACATGCCCGGGATGCAGGAACATAGGGGGTTATCCTCTGCCGCTCATGATTGGTTGTCACGAAATTCTTGTGGCTACGGCGAAGGAGATCGACGGTTGTCGAAGGCTTGCGGCGTTTGCGGGGAATTCTTCGTGGATATCCGCATACGTGGCACACTGTTCTGACGTGTTCGGATTACACCACCAAATGCTCGGCCAACCTCGAACTTGCTTCTCTGTTCTGTCACACACGCACTGCTCCATACCTTGCAACGCCGTTGACCCATTGACCTAGTCAAGAAACCAGCATGCCTCCATTCCCTCACCAACTCAAACCCAAAACTCGAGGGTGTCAAGGATTGCAGTTGGACTTTCTACGCTGGCAAAACGGGGTTTCAGGAGTGGGTGAACTTTACACGTCAGACCAAGAGTGAATATTCTGTCTTCTGTAAGATGCCATTCCTCGTCAAAGACATCCTCAATCTGAGAACTAAATGAAGCACATGAACTTTCTGTGTGATTTGTGTTTAAGTTCATTTCTACTCCACTTTAGATGCCCTTCACCTCCTATCTTACTTCAACATAAAGTATCTAAAATGTGTGTTATTTTTGTGATCAATTAATATCTGACTAAAACAAAGCTTGTGATCCATGGCCTGACGCATGAGTGTGGGCCTGGGGCCTCATTTGTTTGCTGGTACAACCTGCAATTGATGTGCTTTCAAACTTATGTCGAGGATCTGCCCTTGAACAATCACCTTCTTTATGAAGCATCAGCCAACTCTTGGTATCATGTGCGGAAAAACACGCACTCCCGCCTGGGAAGCCGCAGCTCCCGGAAATGTTCCACGGTCCCACGCACAGCCACGGGAAGGTTAGAGAGGACGAGAAGGTGGTACGTGGTAGTGAGCGCACGGGCATCATGTGCGACCCGCGCCTTTCCCTTCGGACACTCCTCGTCCCCCTCCCCCGTCCTCCTCTCCGCTTTCCCCGTCCGCCAGTGCGCCAGTGGGGCATGCCCACGGACCTGGCAGCGGTGGCGCTACTGGCGCAGGCGACTTTTGAGGCGACTCAAAGTCACATGGCAGCCGTGGCTCTACGGGCGCAGGTGGCGGACGACTAAGTGAGGGGCGATAAGAGCACATCGGATAAGAGCACATTCGATAAGAGCCGCGCCAACCCTTCTCGCGCTCGTCGCGCAGACAGGGGGGAGGCGGGGGCTCGCGG